TGTCTCATCGGAGAAGAAGAAGAAACTTTATTTGTACTGCATCTATACACATAAAATTGAGCTCAAAGTGCTTTACAAGAGAAAATAAAAATCAGAAACATATAAAATACAATAATACAGGTAATAAAAACAAGTTAGCAATGATAAAAAAACATATATATATAAGTAAAAACAGTATGTAACTGATATAACCTGACAATAAAAAAACATAAAGTGACCCTCTAAACAAACATATCTGAGTCACAAATATGGGCAAAAAACATACATATATATATATATATATATATATATATATATATATATGTGTGTATGTATATAAAGGGGTTAGGCTACTTGTAATGTGATGTAAAATGTTTTTTATGAACATATACACTGTACTGTACTATACTATATTAATACAAATTAAAAGAGTGCTTATTTTAAATATATTTAACTTAATAAATGTTCTGAAACTATCAACATTTCTTTGTGTTTTACCCTCATAGAGAGACAATTTTGACCGCCCCAATCTTAAAAACAAACAGGATTTATTATAAGTTAAAGTATAATGTGTGCAGCAGTGTTAAGAACATATATTCTAATTTACAACGAGACACATTTGTGGAAAATGCTTTTATTTTGGTATATTTACTGTGGATTTTCCTCTTTCCCCCCCAGTTGAATTAAGATGAGCTGGAGATGAGGCCTGTGTTTTGGTTGGATTACATCATAATGTTTATGTGTAATGGTTTGCTTTGTGGACGTCGGGCGCTGTGGATTTGTCCACTCGTCGTTTCCTCACCGGATGATTGATGTGCGGTCGGGATTTCCGCAGCTTCAGAAGCAGCCAGAAAGAGCGGCAGCAGCCATGTGGTTCATGGCTGAAACCTGAAGACGAAGAAGAGTCCAAACAGAAAGGAGAATCCATCTCAGACTCTGAATTATAGCAACAGGAGGAAAACAATTCACAACACTGTAAAACCAGATGAGTTCATTTAACTCAAAATGTTCTATATCAACATCTTTAAGGAAGTAAAAAATAAAAAAACATTTTTAATTGTAAACGCTAGTGAAATACTCTCTGAGTGGATATGTTAGTTGGCTTCCACAGCTAACATTAGCCATGATAGAAACTTTATTAGTATTCTGATTTTAATAAATAAATAAATATTATTGTAGTTTATTTATTTCACACCAACTGACGCAACAGGATGCTGACTGCAGTTCACTTAACGGCCACCGGAGTCACTAATAACAAGCGTTTTCTTTAAGTTACATATAGAGCCTTTAAATACGTTATTTTAGTAGTTGACACATTGAAATCTATAATATAGCAAACTGTATATTGCAGTGTAAATGTTTTCCTTTATTGAGCGTTACGAGTGTCCCCTGTAGCTACACTCCAGCAGTCTTACGTCCCGCAGCTGATCAGGTTGTTTGGACGTGCAAATGTCTTCTTTACTCTGTAACATTTCCATTCGCTGTTTACAGAGCGAGGAGTCGTATAAGAAGCTTTGTGAGGAGCTGAGACCACCCCACGTACGTTCTGAAAGTCAAACAGTATTTAAAAGTTTGTGGGGGCCGTTCCAGCACCAGTAAAGAAACGTCGAGCACAAAGACAAGTGTGCCGGCAGACGTCTCACAAAAGAGCAGGGGAATGCTGAGAGCACCCCTGGGTGCTGCAATAAATGCCTTTAAGTCATTGTGAGGAAGATAACAGCGGTGTTTTCTCCTCCTCTTTCCTGCTGCAGTGGAGACACATCTGTGACGGTGGGAGGAGGTTATGAAGGAATGTTTCTGAATTCATGTTTTTTATTCATATTTTGTTGATAGTAAAATAAATAAATACATTTTTGTGTTTTCTTTTAAAGTTTGTGGAGATTTTTCCAGTTTGGATGTGAGTCTTGAACTTGTGCAGTCTGCCTCTCCTATTTCACTATTTTAACTTATCTTCATTTGTAGTCTGCAGATTTTGACATTGTCTCAATTTAAGGATGTTTTTAATCAATTATCACTGTGATCAATGTCTCATGTAACTTGGTAAATGGTTCTAACTGGCTTTCAGATCTCCCTTCATTTGATGGGATTAATGGAATATTCTGCCTCTATAGCACTGTGCAACACTATATATTACTACTATACTGTGTTATACATTTTACCTTGTATTATATTCTATATCTCAGACTATGTTATACTGTTTCGTTATATTATGCTCTATATTATATATTGGTAAGTATCATTGTTTAAATAATAATAATAATAATAATAATAATATTAACACACCAAAAGAGGAAAAAAACATAATGCATAGCAGTGTGTGCTGGAATGAAATAAAATAAAAGATTAAAATACATCTTAGATACATATTATCATTCATTTACATTTATGTGCACTTATTTCTGTCTTTTTACTGCTGCAACCCCGGAATTTCCCCTCTGAGGATCAATAAATGATTTTCTTTTTCTTTATTTTTGTCACTGTTTTGTCTGTTATTAGACCCAAAAGAAGTTAAAATTATGGTCTATATGTCAACCTACTACAACATTAAAATGATAATGCATCAGTAATAGTAAAAGGGTTAGAAGTTGGAAGTTCTTCTGTCACCACTGGTTGCTGTAAAGCCATGTAAACTGGGTATTTCTGTGTGCACAACTATCCTACAGTATATATGTATAAAATATGTAAAGCAATAAGTCATGATGAAAATTGTAAATAAACTAATTATTGCTGTTTTCACTAATAAAAACTGTATTTTGACAGTTTACCAATGCTTATATACTGATAAAAAAAACATTCAATTCAATAATTCCATAATTATACAAAATATCTGTCAGTTAACAAACAAATCCACGAATAATGACAGAACAAATACTTTTTTTACTTTTTTGTCACAAATTGTACACAATTTTAGAAATGTATTAACAGAATAACACTTGAATTTAACAGTTTAATCTATTAAATAAGATGTTATTTTATGATTATTGCAGATTTTTCACATTATTTTACATTAGACGTAAATTCACAGGCTATTTTTGATCATTTGATTATATACAGTATACAACATCTATATTATTATTATTTCATTTTATTATTTACATGAATTTAATACAGAAAAAATTTGTAAAATGAACAGGAAAAACCCGTAAACTTACAGAAAAGTAAGGAGAGTCATGCTCTGTGTGCATCAGTCAGGTTCAGTTTAGACTCATTTAAAGACATTTTCTCTTCCTCAGTAGTATTTTTCTTTAATCTTATTGTTCACACCAGCTTACATTTTCTGTCTTCATCATTTCTTCATCACCTCATCCTTTTACCCCCATTCCATTCCCCCGTTGTCCTGCAGAACAAAGCCCAGGGTCAGAGAGGGTCAAGCCTACTGGTGACATCTGCTAATTGTCCTGGTGGGCCGGCCTCTCTGGTGCTCTCAATACCAGTTGCTCTGTAGGTGTCTGTAGCTGGGAGCACACAGGCAGCTGCCACCTTCCTGAGTTACCTCCACAGGATCATTTACCCCCCCCAACTCGACTCCGAGCCCTCATGGACCCTCCTTTACGCTGTGAGGAACGGTCACTCTGGGTATTAGGAAACTATAACTGTTAATGTGGATTTAAAGATGGGACTGTTACCTGAATTGTGAAGTTAATGAAGGCAGATAAAAACAGATGAAACATAAACACATGTAAAGAGGCAGCGATGGAAACTTAAGTACAATTTGGGGTACTTGTTATTATACTTTTTATACTTTTTGTACTTACTTTACATCATATAATCCATATTCTTGAGTTGTGACTCCTCACAGAGAAATTGTGTCTTAATTTAAAAAACACTTTGAGACTAAAAGATATAAAAGGTTAAAATGTAAATATAAATGTATGTATCCATTAATCATCTAATGGCCTCTCAGATTTATCTAGTGACTCTTTGGAGGGGCCGGATCCCTATGTTGGGAACCACTGGACTTAACTAGCAAACTGCATATAAAGTGGTCAAAGTCTATGGAAGCTAATTTCTACCAATGTTAGAGAAGAAAAAAGATCTTGTAAGTATTTCATGAAAAACATTCAAATATTTTAATAACATTAAAATAATAATACTTATTCATTTTAAATACTGTGATCATTTTAAGAAGTTTTCACATTATTTTGAGATATTAGATATAATATTTCAATATACTAATTTATTATTTTAAGAAAGTTTTTCATTATTTTAACAACTAAGTCATTACTTTAAGATATTATGTCTTTATTCCAATATGCTAAATGTTTTTTTGAGTTTTTTTCATTACTTTTATATTATGTCTTAATTTCGACATAATATTGAATTATTTTGAGATAGGCTTCTGAGTCATTATTTGGGGATAATTAGTTATTATTTTTTTAGATAGGCCTATTATATAACTATTGTGAGATACTAAATCATTTTGATAAAGTTTCTCATTATGTGACTTACAGTAGTTTCCTCCACACTAACCTGCAGGAGCATGCAGGCTGCAGTGGTCAGATGTCCAGCAGCTCTCATAAAGTTGTTGTTTGTGGGCTTCTAATTAAACCGAAGTGCTTTGTGGGGATGTCGCACTCAAAGGGACAAGTGGCACTAAGGAAACCTGCGCACAATAAGGGAGAAAAGCGCAAACTTTCCCTTTGATGAGTCCATAAATTAGCATCACAACCGGCGTTCACGTGTCCTACCGGCGTAAAATCCAGCATTTGCAAATAATGACAAGCCAGACCACAATGAGGAACACGGAGGCAAAGAAAGGGGGCACATTTTAACCAGATGCCCAGCAATAAATAACCAACTCAGTGCCCCCCCCAGCTGAGAGGAGACATTACCATTTTGAAGTGCCCACTCGGGGGTCCCACGGGGCCGGAGCGTGTCTGCGCGTCCGCACACAGGCTGCGATTGTTCCTGCAGGACGCATCGCTCCTTTTGCCTCACTTTCTGAATGAAATGTAAATGTGTAAGCGCTCTGGCGGCGTGTGCACAGGCTGTGTATATAAAGCCCCGCAGGAGGAGCACAGACACCGACACTGCTACCTGCGCCCTGACCGTCCACACACCGCTGAAATGCAGCCGCTCGCAGCCAAACTGCCGCTCATCCACAGGACCCCCTTCTCTGTGGAGGATATTCTGGATCCCGCTAAATTTACAAGGAGAATAATCTGTGCTGAGGACGCAACAACAGGTGAGGATCAAACTTAGTGAGTGCCTAAAGGAAAGAATCCGAACCTGGAGAGAGATAACTTTATATAGCTGCTTTATTCTTTTATTCATGTATTCGTGGTTTTCTGTTTCAGGAGCTGCTGCAGCCACAAATGAACCCAGAGAGCGGCAGCATCCTCCGGCAGATGGGAGCTGCAGCCCGGAGGAGGAGGAGGAGGAGGAGGAGGAGGAGGAGGCTCGGTGTGCCGGGAAGCTGCAGAGGTCGAAGGCAAAGAGCCGACGCATCCGCACCGCGTTCACCCTGGAGCAGCTGCACATCCTGGAGCGCAGCTTCCAGAGGTGCCACTACCTGTCGGTGCTGGAGCGGCACAGCATCTCCTCGGCCCTGCGCCTCTCCGAGACCCAGGTCAAGATCTGGTTCCAGAACAGACGCACCAAGTGGAAGAAGGAGCGGCTGCAGGGGAAGGAGGCGGAGGAGGAGCTCGGGTTCTCCGCGCACCATCCTGCGGTCTGCTCACCCCTGACCTACAGCCTGTACTGCCCGCAGCGCGCTCCGCTGCAGCTGTTTGCGCCACTGCCGCTGGGGCCGTTTCATCATTATTATACATGATGAGTGAGCACATAATGGACCCAGCAGCTCCTCCAGGACACGGTTCTGCAGAATCTATGGCACTATTAGGATCATTAAGGAGAGAGCTGTTAAAGTGCCAACAGGACTGAGTTTACAGATATTTTAATTGTAATTATAACTTATTTTCATAAACAATTTCTATTGAAGTTCTTGTTTGTTCCTTCTTTCCTAAAATATATTGACTTAAGCCTGGACCTGAACAGAAAGTCTCTCTGAGCCTCACAGAGCAGCAAAAGAGTTATAATGTAAAGACATATTATATATATTCCCACTGTGAGATAACATTGTGCCAATGGCAGTGACAGTATGATGTAAAATGATGACCTTTGCTATAATACTGATAATGAACGCAGGGACACCTTGCTTCTTTTCAAAAATGACAAGCGGCCAGTTAATAAACAAACATTAATAATAACCTCAATACCATAACTCTTCTTTCTCAAATGATAAATTAAATGGCTCGTTACCAAGCAGCAAGCTCTGGCTGCGTCATCCTCTGGGAACCACAACTGTCTGTACAAAAGAGGGGCCATAAGTAAATTGAATTAAAGTCAACGTTTCCATGTAGTTCAGATATTTCACAGGACAAGTTTGACCTGCTGGTGGCGCTAGAGGAAAAGTTTGAGGATCACAAAAGTCATCAGGATTCATACTCTGTACCGTGAATGTGTGACTCAAATTTAATGACAATGCAACCAATAGTTCTTTCAGTCTGGACCAAAGTGGACCGACTGTCATTGCCAGAGCTGCACTGTCAGCATGACTAAACAATAGAGAAGTATTACATAAAGAAACAGGAGACCACATGTGTCTATATTAACGTTTCTAAAGCACATGTTGCTTGTTTTCACCTAAAATCTAATAAGTAATCAGATCAGATTTCAGTTGAAAGCATTGCACTGTGAAGTAAAACAACCCTTAAACCCTCTTTAAATGCTTCAGATCAGTTTAGCTGGTCTCAGATTGAGATTTGTGTGTGTGTGTGTGTGTGTGTGTGTGTGTGTGTGTCTGTGTGTGTGTGTGTGTGTGTGTGAGTGTGTGTGTGGTGTGTGTGTGTGTGTGTGTGTGTGTGTGCGTGTGTGTGACATAAACAGATGGTCTGGAATGGACAAAAACTTCATCCAACACTTTCTTGGCCAAGTTGAACTCATTCTGTACCTGAAGTATTTAAAGACTCACATAAAAGAAAAACTCAAAGTGTCCTTACACACACACACACACACACACACACACACACACACACACACACACACACACACACACACTGTTGAGCACATCTGTATGTAATTTAGCACATACTCTTATCCTCAGATGGCAGGGGGGTTCTGAAATCTCCAAACTGTCCGTCCATTATAGTGAATGAGATAAATCTGTGAGGTATTTAGTTTGAATAAATCAATAAAAAGTTCTACTCCTCTAAACTGTTATGGGAAAAACAAAGATGGGGTGGGGGGGGGGGGGTTTGATTTAGCATTGACTATTTTTCCCGGGGCTACAAATTCTGAGATTTCTTTCCTCTGTAAATAAATAAATCTTCAAATATCCACAATTCATTATTTGAGAAAAATCACGTTATCATCAGCTGTTGCTCTGAGTGTTTTTTCCTGGCAGGCTGGTTAGAGCGAAACAGATCTGAAACCACCTCCATCAGTGAGGTATTGGAAACAGATGGAGGCAAAAGAAAACACTGGACAAAATAGGAGAGGAGTCTATTGTTACACACACACACACACACACACAGGTCTGAGAAAGGAAAGGCCAGAATTATGAGCGTGAGCAGATAAATGAGCCAACATGTAATGGAAACAGATTAAATGTTCGGGGCCGATACGGTCGATGACATTCTGAAGCTTTCTGAAGGAATTAAGATCATAAAACTAACAGCTCAGCGTCTCAGAGGTTTTAATCCCAGATGACGCAGCTGTTGTCAGTCTGCTTCACGGACATTCAGTCATCGGTGGTTTGATGATCACTTTCTGACTTTGAACCGAAGTTGTTACTGACTCTAGGGTCAGTGCCTGGAATGGACGCTTCTGTTTGTGTCCACGAGTACTGCCACCTCTGGTGAGCGTGGTCGTACTCTCCACTGAGCTCACCGGACGTTTGGTATTTTTTCCAAGGAGTATACAATAAAAAGTTGTGACATACAGGTAACTCCCTAAAATGAACTTTGATGCTTTGATTTATAAAACCCTGCATGCAGGAATGCTGCTGACCTCCTAAACACCCACATAACTGCTGCTCCAAGTAAACACATCGCTTCTTAATGCTAAGAAAACAGCACTGAAAACGTCCTACAATAAGAAAGGCAAAATAATTAGGGTTATGTTGTGTTTAGGGCAACTTTTTTGGTCCAATTCACCCTGCCATGTTAGTGGTTCAGTGATTCTGTATGTTCTGTATCAGCATGCTAACATGCTCACAATGGCAATGCTAACAGGCCAAAAGTATAATTTTTTTAATCTGTCCAATACTAATTACATATTCATCAGCCTCAGCTGTACTTTGTGTTTAGATTTGGCTGTTCACGGCCAACAGGTCATAGTCCTGAAGAGATTCTCAGGTTGTACGCAGTCCTTTATCACATTAACCTCCTGTTGTATTCTGCATGGCGTGCAGAGTAACAGCACTTTTTTGTTTTTGATTGTCTTACTGTCTAATTAATGTCGATCATCCGCTGACAGCGAGATGACCAAGCAGAACAGAATGTCCCTCTGTTGACTTAAAACGTGACTCAGTTTGTTCACCCAGGAATAAATGCTTCTAACCTCACATCTGGTAACAGTTTTTCTGACTGAGTAATGCTGTGTGACCCATCGGTGACCGAACACTAACCTAAAACGTGTTATGTAACATCCTCATCTAGGTCTTTTTAACATGAGATTGTTTAAACTTGTCATGCATGTTTTAAAGGCTGCAAATCTGAATGGAGTTTGCCTAAATCCAGACTGAAGATTTTGGAGAGTCTGCTCTAGTAAAGCGGATCAACACTGATAATCAGGACATGTTATCTTGCAGAGGAAGTCCTCCAGAGTCCAGAATGACCCTCAGACCAGTCGGAGCCGTCACAATTACCTGACATGTTTGATGATTTGTTCTCACTGGAACTTTAATTGCACAAAAACTGCCCATAAACATTAAAAACACCCATTGCAATGTTTTAGAAAAGGTCCCAAAAAAAGCCAGCGAATCCCGGAGGGACTGATAAAACAACCAGTGTGTAGGATTCAGTGGCATCTAGTGGTGACGTTGCAGATTGCAACCAACTGAATACAGCTCACTTTCAGAGAAACTATGCTGGCCGTGAAACTCTGATAGAAACTGAAAGAAAGAAAGATGGAAATACGGATAATGTTGTGTTTACGGCTTCTTCCGCTGTGCCCCAAAAAATCCATTAATGCAGCTTTAAACATACCAGACCAAGTAACCCTGCAGCAGCTAAACCAAAACCACTGAATGTTTTGAATTGAGAAATCGCTTTGGAGTTCAGCTTTTCATTTATAAGAAGAAGATTGGGCTATTTCTTCTTTTAAAACTCACACAGTATACTTTAAACTACTAAAACTTTGCACAATTAACCCTTTTATTGGGCCCCATTGCTTTCAACCTCATATTCACTTAAAAACTTGGAGCCTCGGCTTGTTTCAAGTTATGTCTTTTTTCATGTAATGTCCTCACTCGTCCTCACTGAGTTCTCATCCACATCAACTGCACTCTTTTAGTCTTTCTTTCTTTCTTTCTTTCTGTCTTTCTTTCTTTCTTTCTTTCTTTCTTTCCTTGTAGGAATGTCACATGTGGCAGATGCTCCTCCCCTCAGCTCAGAGATGGGTGAGGGGAAAAGGGGGTGAAGGGCCATGAGGGAGAGATGTGACTGAGGAGTATGTGGGAGAGGGGAGGAGGAGGAGGAGGAGGAGAAGGAGGAGGAGGCAGGGAGGTGTGTTGCTCTGCTGTGGCTGTTGCTGCTGGAGAAAATCCACTCCAGACAGATGCATTTCCTCCGCTGCAGCACGACCAGGAGGCTGCTTTAAAACCTCCAGCCCACAACTGTTTCTCCCTCTCTCCATGCTGACTCGCCATCAGAGAGGAGGAAGCTCTCCAGACCTCCACAAGCTCATCCTTTTGTTCTCTCCAGACCCTTTAAAGTCTTCTGAGACTTCTTAAGGACCTCAAAGTCTGGTGACTCAAGACAGCTGAATCTGTGCATCTGCAGGTCAGATGTTGGTCATTAGTTATTTTTACAGCTAAGTCGAGTTCAGGGGAGTTCTTGGAGTTCGTCTCATCTTCGTCAGCGTTGTGTTTTCCATTGGAGAAATGAGGCCTGAGGTGCTGGTCGTCTGGGTGGGTTTGACCCTTTGCTGTGCTCTGGTCTGGGCTCGAGAAGATATGAGGGAGGACAAACTCTCCAGAGGCCCGGCTCAGGTGGGAGAAGCCCGGGGACTGGTGGGGCACAGGAGACGGGGGGAGGAAGGGGATGTTGAGATGTCGGACGAGCCTGCTGAAGCGGTGGAAGAACAGACAAAACCAAAGAAGAAGAAAACACCTGAGGAAATTGAGGCAGGTAAGAAGGAGCTTCTACAAACACGCTTAGCCATGGTAACAGACACAAAGTACGGTTCAGATCTGTGATTGAGTTTGAAGATTATATAGATTCACTGCTACTAGAGGTTGCACTGGCGCACCAGCATCTCTGTCTCATGGAAAGGATCCCTACAGAGACCTTTAGTTTAACTAGAAACAGTAATATCACTATCACTCTCCACCAGACTCCAGAAACAAAAACTGTACTTTTACCTCGCATATCATCATAACTTCATTCAAAGTGGACAGAAACAGAATAAAACTCACGTAAACCGTCTCTGTTAGTCTTTCCAACGATCACCAACTCTGGTTTGGTGGAAAGTTAAACAAGAAAAACCTTTCGCTGCTTTCCTCAAAGCTTACAGTTGCACACGAAGCGACTCACACGCTCACAATCTAAATATCATACATATGACTTTTAACATGTAAGTTTGAATACAATTTGTCTTGACCTCTCCTGGCCTCTGCTCTGCTCGGAGCTTCCAGTCACAGCTTGCAGCCAAGACACTGAGGATACACAGACAGGAAAGGCTGCAATCAATCTCTGAAGAAGGAAAACATTTCGGTTGGAGCTCTGTTATCTAGCTCTCTGTCTCCAGCTTTCTCTCTGAACTCTTCCAGAGATTTCTTACCCCCCTATAGTCACAAAAAGCTTTGCATGTTCACCAAATGAGTTGCAGTTCAGAACCAGAATAGCCGTGGGGGTTTGGGGTTTTTGTTTTGGTGAAAATATCTCAGTGATTCAGAGATGACGGCGCAGAAACTTTCAGTTGGTGGTCTGACAGTTTCTTGGAAGCCTGACCGAACCTCTGCTTACATG